AGAGAGAAATGCACTTTCACTTTCAGCTTCAGATTCAATCAGAATTGGAATCATAAAAATCACTTGGGCATGGGGTCATCACTTCAGATTCAAGCAACTGGACCACCCTGTGCATGGTGGGTCGATCCTCTGGGCTTGAAGAAACACACTGGATAGCAACTGAGAGCAAGGCATCAAGGCTTTCCACCTGCACCCCGTCACAATTTGGATCTACAATCTCTCGTTGCCTATTCTCTGTGATCAAGAAATTTAACTGCACAAAAGAGAACAAACCAGTCAGATGAATACCTACACACGCTTGTATATATTCTTAAATGGCAAAACCATCTGTATGGGATTACGTCATTTGTATCTTTGATAGTGGAAATTGCTTAAAGAGCAAGCATCAATTGTCAATCTAGAACAGCAAAATATCTGTCTATTTTTGCTGACAGAACATTTACCCATGGAATAAATTACTAACAAAAATTCCAAGTTAGGTATCTAAAATTATTACTATCCTGAAAGATGAATATTTTTTCCCCCTTTTTTTGCTAGATAAGTTTAAAACCTTGCCTTGGATCTTGGTCTTGCAAATTGTTGCATTATCTTCATTAAAAATGGCCAAAGCAATACAATAAAAAGAAGCCACAACAACCTAAAAATGTCTAGAAAGAAGAAGTAAAAACAGATTTTCACCCTTTAGTTCACCGTCAAATGTTTAGACATCTCAAACATGTGCTTTAATAGCTTAATCAGAAGTTCTTTAACGGAAGGAGATATTAAGCCTACTTGATAAAATTTCACAAAAGTGAAGACATACCCAGCCAACGATGTTGAGGCCCTTTTCAATGAAAGATGCATCAGTGGGTCTCTTTCCACTTAAGACTTCGAGCACCAAGACCCCAAAACTATAGACATCTGTCTTTTCAGTTGCTCTCCCACTTGCCATATACTCTGTTGAAGGCAGCATGAACAGACTCAAAGATCAATTGGATCCAAAATGCTTACATTTCAACATATCATTGAACCACTTAAACAAGATCCTAACTGCAAACTATAAAAGTAACTAAATAACTATATATATATATATATATATACTTGACCAGATCAGTATGCCTAAAATTATCCATTGGCTAGGCTATAAGCCAAGAAATGTGCAGTTTTTATTCTTAGCCACAAATTTAGAGACATCATACACGATGGGTTCTCAATAAAATGCAGTGTTTCCAAAGACAAATCTGTTAATGCAATGTGAGGTAAGGCGGAAGCCTCAAAGCCATAGGGCATAAAGCTTGTTTGGCAGCACTTAATTCTACCCAGTCCTCCATTTTAGGAAGAACAAGATAAATCTTACCTCCATTTTCAAGTTTCAGTCTTTCCAGTGGCCAAGCAAGTATGTATGGGATGTTCTCCATATAGAGAGATTAAAAAAAAAAAAAGGGATCTTGCTTTCTTAAGCCAAGGGAGAAGGTAGTGTGCAGTCAGCCAGTCGATGACATCATTAAGTGATTTTTCAAAACACGGATAGGAGCTCCACCATGATATGATATCAACAATTAGAGTTTATGAAAAATTCTATAGTTTTAAATATATAAAGGACATATTTTTTTTTGGTTCAACACGCAACAGTGTTTAATGTACAGGATCATGGGTTAGCACATGGAATGTGAATGTGAATGTTTCTTCACACATGGAATGTGAATCTTTCTGATTGGCTCCTTTACACACTCGTGAAAAGTTTCCCAGATACACTAGATGTTTAGCTGGCAGATTTGGTATTCAGAATTGTCAAACATCATAAGAAATAATCTCCCAATCTTCTCATAAAGAGAGCCAAGGGCTCCATAATTGTAAGTAAGTCAATATTTCAAATGCATACCTGGCGCCAAATAACCGAAAGTTCCTGCAACAATGGTTGTAATATGGGATTCTTCATCCTCTAATAGCTTGGCAAGTCCAAAGTCTGATACTCGAGCCTCCAAGTTGCTATCAAGTAAAATGTTGCTGGACTTTATGTCACGGTGTATGATCCTAGGAGAACAATCATGGTGTAAATAGGCCAGTCCTTTTGCTGCCCCCATAATAATGTTCAAGCGTGCTTCCCAGTCTAACTGCTCAGATCGTTCTGTCAAAAGAATTATAAAACATCATCACCTCCCCGAATGAAATCAACCCACGCAACAAATCAGTAGAATTAAAATGGTCCTAACCAACGGTGAAAACATAGAAAGAGATATGTTTAATTTCAAGCTTAGTCAGTCTATCCATGAAACATGCCATGTAATTCGATTTTCTGAAAGTTTAAGGTTTAGTTAATGCCAGGCCATGTGCTGCTTTTGAATGAAACTGGTTACAGGAGCCTCACCATGAAGAGCTTCATCAAGACTACCACCAGCCAAGAAATCATAAATTAACAGCTTCGATGTAGGTGAATTACAATATCCTCGCAAGTTCACTAGGTATCGGTGTTTTATGCTTCCAAGAATTTCAAGCTCTCTCTCAAAAAAACGATCGAATCCCTCATTCATCTTCACAATTCGTTTCAAAGCAAAAACATTACCATCATCCATTGCAAGCTTATATACTGTCCCAAAGCCCCCAGTACCTATAACGTGTTCCTCATTCAAAGTTTCCAATTTCTTTATGATGTCTTTTGATGTGTATGGCAAGTCTCCATGAAACATAACAATTGATGCCCCTGAAGCAAAAATACCACATGAACAGAGATGTTGAATCTTAGAGAGCAAAGATTAAAATGAATACAGCTAGATTTTCCAAAATTGAAGATCAGTTGGGAAGAACACCTCCACTGACATCCATGGCAAGAGTTCTGCCCTCATTTTTACCAAACTTCTTATATAGGAAGCAACCCCAAAAACACATAAGTGCCACCAAAAGCAGTGCTCCCACAGTTGCTGAGGCACTAATGAGAAGCCTTCCAGAGTATTTCTTTTTCCCAGCTGGATTTTGAGCTACAAAAGAAGATGACATACTAACCAAAGTGAGCTGCCTCCAAAAAAATGAAAAAGATCCAAGAATTAAGGCAACAAAGTTGTCAGGAATTCAAAATTTGTGGAAAAAACTTAAATTCTTCATATCTATAGCTAAAACTGAAATGAGTACCAAACAGCCAGAGAGTATACATTCCAGTGTATGCAGCTTACCTGAAGTAGGAGATTGGGAATTTGTTGTAGCTCCTCCACCGTCATCTTTGCATGCCACATTGATTTGCTTTCCACATAAATCACGATTTCCAACAAAACTGCCAAAAAAAAGTGATAAACTGTTAATTTAGCATAATAATAGTATAGCAATCTTTTTTGAGTTTGCATGGTGAAGTGGCCAATGCAAGATGAAGATTCTAAAAGCGCACAACAAAGTTATCAAGTATAAGAGTAACACTTGACACCTCGTGAATGATACTTTTCTTGACATAGCATATAAATAACGGGAGATATATTGAACACAGCATACCAAAATAGCTTGTACTTACGAGCTCAATGTATAGATGCTGAATACACCTTGTGATGGTATAGGCCCTACCAGAAAATTGTTTGACACATTGCTTCAGGAAATTCAAAACAATCATCAAATATGAGATTACATTCAATAAATGTTCCTAAAGTACCAACTAGGTAAAACATCTCTCCTTCAAAACTAAGAAATTTGAAGCAAGGGAACTAACAACGTAACGAGCTTATCTAACTTCCCAAGTGAAGGAGGGATAGATCCACTGAGAGAGTTGCTTGAGATATCCCTGCAAATTTTTGAAACAGTGTAAGCATCATTAAGTAATCCAAACACTTAAGTCACTTTTCCACTTTAGCTCACATTTATTAGCAAGAGAAACATCTTACAGATTCCGAAGTGAAGTTAGGTTTCCCAATTCACTTGGGATTAATCCACTTAAGTAATTTCCCTGCAAGTATCTGCAGAAGAGAACATATTACAGAATAATAAAATAATAAATACAGGTAATTTCATGATAAATTCTTCAATACCAAGTCTACATAAACTTGACAACAGAAAAAGATAATTCATATTTGCATACACACTAGTTAAACACCACAATGCTATTCCTTCAAAAAAGAAAGAAAAATAAGTACAAAACCTTAGTTATCAAGTATATCAAAGCAACATTTAGCCAACAGTACATAGAATATTAGTGAGTTTTTAAGGACAAAATAAGAAAGATTAGTCCACTTTGCTTACACTCAAGGAAATGCTAGAGATAACGGCATAAAATTAACATGTAATCAAAAGCAAAGAAAGGTTGATTTCAGTTTTTTTTCCCTCTTTATCTGTAGAATGACTAGATTTAATTTGAGAACATCCAAGGTTGATTTCACTTTTCAAGCAAGAAGAAGCATAATATCACTGAACCCACATATCTGCGGCAATACTTACATTCCCTGCAGCTCTGTGCAATTACCCAGCTCAGAAGGAATTGCCCCATAAAAGTTGTTGTTATGAAGCATTCTGATCCACATATAAATTACACAAAACATCAACTGCAATAAATTATGTTCGAATACAGATCATGCATCAACTATGAAGTAGCAAGAATCCCAGCAATACATACAAAAGCCTCAAATGCTCCAGCTTCCCAATGTCAGGTGATATAGGACCATCAGTTTATGATTGTTAGGCTCCTGAGGAGGACAGAGGGAAAAGAAAATATGCATGTCATTTTCACGCAAACAAAGTTGTCAAAGGGAAGAAAGATTTGGATATTATCTTCAATACTCACAAAGTCGTCACTCTCTTGGTTTTACTATCACATGTCACCCCTTTCCATTTGCATGGATCAGGATCCTCTGGTCTCCACTGAGAAAGGAAACCATCTGAACTAACAATTGCTATCCGGAAGCTTAGAAGTGCCTCTCCTGCATTTCAGGAAAACCATTTTCATATTCTATAACCAGATACCCTTGTTTCCCATGAAAAACATAACTAATGGCTGGCTAGCTAGAGATTCTATAACCAGCCAAAATCTGTTATTATCTAAACAACAATGCAAAGATGGTGCAGAAAAAAAAAGGATAAAAGAGAGAGGCAAGGAGTAAACATGTTCACCAATCAAAAAGGTGGAAATTTTCGATATGTAAAATTCCTAAGTGAGACAAGTTTAACCAGAGCATTCCAACCAAATCAGAATCAATATAAGGAGAGCATTTGGGGTCCTTTTTTAAATGGTAAGAGAAGAAGGGAAGAAAAGGAAACATTAGCTTGATTAGTATGATATGACATAGTATACATCACCTACCATCAGGACTGATAGCTCTGATTCTGTTTATTAGGATAAAATAGACTAGAACGTGAAGCAGCCATGGCCATTGACGTTTCATCAGACAGATGCCCATAATGGCACTGAGCAAGCATAATATAGATGCTACAAATCATCTGATACACCAAGCTCGAAAATGCCTCGTTGTTGTAACATATGGTTATCTGGTCTATGTTGCCATATGGCAGCTACAAAAGACAGAAAATGATGCCTGGCAGGAAGGAGAGAAGCAAGATAAGAAACAAATGTGATAAGAAATCTGAAACAGAAAGATTATTGTGCAAACCAAAATTCTTGAATCCAATGCAAATAGCAACCAAGAACCTTTACAAGCAACTCATTTCCAAATTTGCATTCCTTATACAAACTAGGAAGAGATTAGCACTTCCCTTTACAAGCAATTCATTTCCAAATCTCCAATCATTTCAGACATATCTGTCGAATTTAAAGTTGCACACCACTAAATAGAAATATAATAATTGATTATCTAAGAATCAACTTCTGCAACCAATAAAACTCAACTACATCCGGTTTCACTGAATTTGAAACTAAATTGACTGCCTCTGAAATTTGTACTGATTGATAACTGCATTTTTTGAGAGCTCAAAGAAGAAAAGAATTACACTCGCTGAGGTTGATACAGTGACAGATTTCACAAAAATAAACCGGAAATAAAAAAGAAGGAAGGCCTAAAACAAAGTTCGTCCAAATCAAAGCAGTAAAAAGTAAATTGAGATTCCTAAATACGGCCCCTCAACATAAAGTAAAAGAAATTGAGCTAAAAAGCAAGCGAAGATAGGAGCGTAGAAAGCAAATACTAGTCAATCTGGAACTTGAACTTAAACATAAAAAAGGTAAATTTTGGAAAAGGAAATCGAAAGAAAAGGGAGAAATCGAAGAAACCTTTGAGATCGATTCGATCTGCAGACCAATGAGCTGCAAAGAGAAAACGAACAACAACAAAAAACAAAAAACAAAAAACAAAAAATTGGAGAACTAAAAATGATTCACTTCTTCTCACTTCTTCCTCTTGGATGAGCAATGAGTAAAGAGTACCGACTGGGACTGGGAGATTTGTTTCATTTATTTATTAATTACAGTAACTAAAAAATAAAGGTGAATATGTGATGGTGATGAGAGTAGTTTTCGTTGAGGAAAGGCAGTGTGCGAGCGAGAATTAGATGCTTGGAATTAAAAGGGTGAGTTGAGCTCGGGCCTCAGCCAATGAGATCGAGGTGGTTTCCCACGTGCGACTGTGACCTTCCGTACGTGCCAACCGACGCTTCCTTCTTTCTAGAACCGATTAATGAACTGAAGAGCGAAGTGAGTCACTCAGTCTCAGCGCGGCCTACGGTGCTTTTGCTACGGTAACTGTACTACACAAAAATTATATGAGATGTATATCAGAAACAAAATATAATTTTTAAAAAACATAATAAACCTTTCATGTAAATGCAACTGACAAGAACACAAGGCATAATAGACAGCATCACAACCTAAACCCTTTTTAAGGATAATACCCGAAATGATAGCTTGGAATCAACTCAGACATGAGAGATTGATGGAGCTAAGGGTGTCTGGTCTGTGCTGTGGCGTTTATGCAAAGTTCATGAGACCCAGTTCACATTTTTGTCCAAATTCAAATTCAAAATCAAGATCATCAATATCATCATCCTCTGTAGGGTGAAACCCAAAATTCCAGTCTATCTAAGGCCACCCTCCTTCTCGCGTCTCTTTCCGAGCTGAAGAAATGGCATCGATGGGCCAAAAACCTGGCGTCCTCAGTTGGCTCCTCTTTTGTTCGCTTAGACAATGGCCCCGATTCGAGTCTCCTCCGCAGAGAGCTCAACTGGCTTCTACAAGACTTACTTGAACTCCAACACCATCCACGAATACTATCTCTACTGGAATCGGATAGCAATGAGAATGTGGATACAAGTGTTGCTCTAAGAGCGCCTTTGGAGGAGCTGTATTGTGCTTGGAGGCAGAGGATTGAAGAGAGGAGACCCTTTCAGTACGTTGTAGGTGCCAGCATTGGAGGGATTTGGTGTTGAGCGTGCAAGAAGGGTTCTGATTCCTAGGCCTGAAACTGAAATGATTATTGATATAGTGGAGCGTGTGGCGTTGAAAACTACCCCAAAATTGGTACACGGTTTATGGGCTGATTTGGGGACTGGTAGCGGTGCTATTGCTATTGCCACTGCAAGGGCTTTAGCAACTCATGCTCATGCTCATGGCAGAGTGATTGCCACTGATATAAGTCCGGTGGCAGTTGCTGTGGCCGCTTTTAATGTGCAAAGATATGGTCTACAGGTATCTCACTTCATTTCATCTTATCACCCAAATTTATCGTCTCTCTTTTCATTTTTCAACCATTTAATTCACAAAATGGAAATCTGAAGATGCTCCCAAAAATTGCATTAGCACAAAGCAATAGCAATAGTTTGATATTACACCCAAAAAAAGGTGCCTGTCCAAGTACCATGACATTTTGCATAAGTCTTGTACACGGGAAGTCTGAAATTCTATGTTGCAGAACAAGATATATGATGAGCAAATGACTAGATAAGTTAGTTTTGAACGACTTGTGCAAGATTATACAAGTTATAGCAACTTATTTAAGAAAGTTTACTTTTTTATGGCCAAATAAACAAATCATAGTTCCATCATCTTGCCTTTGCACCTTTCGTCCTTTCTCCTCTTGCCTATACTGAGATGTTCAATTTTGAAACTGGCCTTCGGTCTACAAATCAGGATATGGTTGAGGTGAGGAAAGGATCTTGGTTTGAACCATTAAAAGATGTTGAAGGTAAACTTGCTGGTGTTGTGAGTAACCCACCATACATACCAAGTGGTGATATCCCTGGCCTACAAGCTGAAGTTGGTCAACATGAACCAAAACTTGCATTAGATGGTGGTATTACTGGAACCAATGATCTTCTCCATCTTATTGATGGGGCTGCTTCCATGTTGAAACCTGGAGGATTTTTCGCTTTCGAGGTATCATATCTTGAACAATACCACCATTTCATTCTGATTTAATTTTTTTTTCCTTTTTTGGATTTTTTGTTGGTAATTACCTTATGTCCATGGTCTTACACACTTTGAACATGCCTTAGCACACAACTGTTCCTCTTTGCAGGTTGAATAGTTGGTTTCATCATTATGCTCTGTACGTTAACGGAATATTAATATAGAGAAATTCATTTTATGAACATGATTCATATGTCTCATGTTATATCCCATGAATAAGGAAGGGGAAAGGGGAAAAACAGATGAAATATTTTAGGAGTTCACTGATTCAATTTATTAATGATTTAGTACTGATAGTACTTTAACTCGATTTGTGTCCAACATAAATCTGGTTGCTCCCACTTTCCACCTTAATCATGTTCCTGCTGCAGTAGGGTTCTTAGGATATTGCCTAACTTCATGCAGTAATATATTGTAACAGAGACAAATTTAATAATATTTTGATAACAATCTTATAGCACAACATTTGAATCTTGGCAATTCAGAGAAACTGTTTCTTCTTCTGAGTCTCTGTTTTGTTACGGCTTTGGTAAGTCTTGTTCTTCTAGACCAATTTAGAATTGAGGTGCCTTTTCCTTCTTTCTAATTCTCTTGGTACAGACAAATGGAGACAAGCAGTGCGAGTTTCTTGTGAACTATATTGAAAATGATAAGTCAGGCAGCTTCTGCAATGTTCACCCAGTATCCGATTTTGATGGTATCCAACGTTTTGTGCTGGGATTTCGTCGATGAATGGTATGATCAATAAATGCATCTGTTTGCTGGTCATCAAGAACAGAAACAAGGAAAAAAAGTCAGTATTTCCAGCTAATACATTAATTTTTGGTTAAAAATTTATGAGTTCTTTTCTATTGATAATTTTATTCCTTCTTGTGTTTTGATAAAGTGCATTTCTGAAATTGGTATATCATGAGTTTGAATATTGTACCTGTCCAGCTATTGCCACTTACTTCTGTTCTCTAAAGCTCATTTAGAATGCAAAAATCATCCAGGGATAAGTACCTTATTGAGACCAATTATTAGACCATATCGTACACTAATTTAGTTCAATATGTAGTTTTCTTTCTTTCAGTTTCCTTGCATTTCTTGTTCTGTATTCTGAATTAACAGGACTTGTTCTAAAATGGCATGGTTACAGGGAAGAACAGCTGTTTAACTTTCTCAGCCCTGATTAATCCCTGATAACAGAGGATGGTGGAGACTGGAAGAAATCTATTGTGACAAGAACTTCAATGAAAGTGGAAACATACACCGAAAATTAATTTACCACCAAGCGGGAGTTTTAATGAAGGGAAGGGAAGTAGTAAGCATCCAATGCCATATATAGCTGGACAGGAGGGGATTGATACAAGAACATTAAAAAAGTCAACAAAATATGCTTGTCATTACTGGATTAGGTGATTCACTGAACACTTGCTATTGTGTTTGTTGTACTAATGTAGCTAATGAGTGACCTTTATACTTTGTTTTTTTTGAGGTTACTATTTATATTCTTCCATTATTTGTTTTACAGATGGAACATGTAGTGAACATAGTCATGAAACTGACATTTGGACATCTCAGGAGAGATAATGGCATTAGTACAGTATATGAGCAGAGACCTTATGTCTCAATTCTCAAAATATCAGGTTTGGTACAAACAATATCAATCTAGCAACCCGACTAGGTGATGGGAGGCAACATTTGGCTTTTATTTTTAATTTCATGTATGATATGTAATTTGGTTATATTGTGGTGGTAGCTTTTGCATTTTTTGAACGCCAATTGTTTCGTCCTTCTTTATTCTCCCCCCTCTGCTTCGTGTTTCTCTCTTTATCCTCCTTTTCTCCTCAAAACTGTTCATTAATTTCAAGTGTATGGCTATGGCTATTCCCCTTTAAGCTTTCCTAGCTTCTTGTTTTCGCAAAAGTCAAAAGAAAAACCATTGATCAGAGAGAAATGACTGAAGATAATTTAGTGACAATCAACGTTTTGGTTAAATTAGAAAAATGAAATAGACAAATATTATTTACCCATTGTTACTAAAATACTCCAATTCATAGTAGTAGTAATTAACAAAAGTGAGATAGAGCTTTTTATTGCAATAAAACATATGATAAGCTGATCGACACCATGGCACAAGGAATTTAAAATTTCATTCAAATCATACTTATTCTACAAAATTTTCTCAAGCGTCATATGCACATAAGTTCAGTGTATCCATATTCGATTATGAATTCATAGATAGAACTGCTTTATTGTCATCCTAGTGTCATACAATTCGTCACATCACTGAAAGTGAAAGGCAAATAGGTAAGAGTCATTTTCGTTGCTTTAGAATAAGACACAGTTAAACATACAATGTCCGGCAATCACACAGGAAAAGCATTTTTTTTTTCCTTTTTCCTTTTTGCATTTTTACATGGGAAAGCAATCAACTTGATTCAGCAGGAGGCTTTTCCTTTGGATGTTTGGAGGTGTAATGATCACCAAGCTGTTTCGCATTTGCTAATTGTACCTACAAGAACAAGTTAGCTCCACTTTAGCATATTATAGGAAAGGAGGTGAGAGAGAGGAGGACCTAGAATATGTCAAGGACCCAAACTGCCACCCCAACAACAAGAATCAAATCCTTCAAACAACAAACTGGCACATGGAGAAGAGAGTTGGAAAAGTTGAAGAAAAGGAAAAACAGGCAACTTATCATACACAACCATGATATATTCCAATTCAGAGTATATTATGCATATGATAAATGCAAAATTAGAAAAGCATGCAATCATATGAAACAGCAAATGAAGACTCAACTCAAATGCCTAGCAGTTGAGGCCCTTGGACTCCAAGATCGTACTAAAATAAGTTACATATAACAAGTATGACTTGCAAGCAAGTCTACTGCAGTTTGAATTAAAATTAATGCCAATTTAACCTACAGCCACATGTTTTACAATGCAAATAAGAACTGTCTATGCATAGCAATCAGCAAAGTATGACCATCAATGTGACATCGATCATCACAATTTGAGTAGGACATGCACCGCCTGTTATATGATTGAATTAAAATATGTTTGTTGGACCATCTGCAGTGGATGAACCACCATACCAAGTACCAACCTTTAAATTCAAAGAATAGCTAAACCAAAACAAGCACCAACCAAATGAAAGCCAACATCATTTACATCGCGAAGCAAAAAATTAGTAACAGATGACAAATGCACATGATCATAATATAAATCTGAAAGTTGAAAATACAATAAGTACTTGCAAATCTCTTTCCTAGCACTAAAAGGCCATCAGGTCTATGAACTCCGTTAAGGAAATAAAGTTAGGATTACCTGATATATACTTGCAGCACTTGAATAGCTAGCGTGCATCTTGTTTTTCTTTGCCTTGAAAATTTCAGTCAAAAGATACGGATAAAAATACCAAAGGAAGAGACGTGGGATGTCAAAGAATGGGGGTGTAAGGTTAGAGAATGCATGGATATCACTTTCCTATGCATCTTTGTAATCAGGTATTCTAGGTTGTGAATTAGCTGTTTGACACCCTCAAATATCTTAAAAGTAATGTCGCATTTTTATCCGAGACAAGGAGATAGGCTCCTTAAATAACCTCATCCAAGAGTACCCTCAGAGGCTGAATGTGTGTTAGCTATGCTATAGTATTAGCTAACATACAACTGCAGTAGTGTAGCAAGTCAAACAGATACTAATAGGAATAGGAATACCATTTAGTGCTTTACATTCATTGTTATTGTTGTTATTAATCTTATATAGCAATCGAATAATTAAGTAATTCCATTATAATTTCAACAGCAACGTCTATCTATATTCACTTTTCAAAAAAAAAAAAAAAA